AAATAATTGCGATACGTGTCAGATAATATGTGACGTCTTATATTAAATCAAATACAACAAGACTGTACGGATTTACTTTAAACAACGTAAAACTGTCCCTGCTTCCACCACACTTCTGATTAAGCACGTTAACATTGAATATGCGCACGCACATGACACAGATCGTCAGCTATATCTAATACAAGCTTCCATTGCAATTTTGTATGTTGTCTTCAGCCTTAATAACAGCACTTGATTGTAATAGTAGCAATTTCAGTATCGGATTTATGAAATATTGCTGAAGGCGACCATTACTGTAATTAGTGTATCAAGACAGAGTAAATTTCTTCGGCACATCGCTCCGGACAATAGTATCACGAACACGTAACAGAGACTTGAAAATTGAAGAGTTTTGCTCTGTGGGCAAATCGCCACTTAGCAGATGTGCAACTTTTCATATTAGCAAGGAAGATGAGCGTTCTTTGTGTCCATTTGTGTTTCTGTTGCCGCAGAAAGCTTCCAAAGTCTTCTTCTTTCGATTCGCTATTTTCCTACCCGTGGTTCAGCGCTGTATCATGAACTCACTCGTAACAGTGAGGCGATTAGACTCATGTGCACATATTGCAACTCTCAGTTTAGCCGAGGTGAGTATCCATTGGTCTATAATAAATTTCAACATGCGAGTTTGACCACTAGTGAAGTGATTGAAAGCACTACTTCACGTTCATTGACATTTACTTTAACCTATAGTATTCTTCATGGCATGTGTAGAGTACAGTAAGTCACACAATCCCTGTCAGATGGCGGCAAATTTCTTATTCTCTCACCTAAGGTCTTCGTGTGTAAGTTAAGTAAATACGAAATGCTTCGTTTCAACGCCTTTATTGCACTCAAACTTCGGCGTAATATCTTTGCAGAGCAAAGTCGCAGCAGATGACTCAGAAGAATGACGTGTCAAAAGCTAGAGAGAAATACTAAAATGTAGTACAAATAAAATTTTGAAATTTGGGCTTCATCAACAAAACCAGTTAAATTTTCGAATGATAACAGCCATAAGCATCATTTCAGTAAATTGGGTGGCCTGGCGTTATGGCATAACCGATGGTCTTAAATGTCTAATGAGCCATTTAACTAGTCCATGGCACAATAGCTTTTCAGCATCTCTGCATCACGCACTGATGCGCATCCCATCACCTTCTGGCTTGAGAATTGCTTTTCTCATCGCCGATGATATTTAAGACTACAGTAAAATTTCTTTCTTTGGATGGCTGGGCTATACTCAGGATTTTTTGCTGAGGATATATTGATAAGTATTATCCACCTAAGCTGAGATGTCATGTACACATGTGAGATTATATAAAGAATCAAAAGGAGAGGCAGCAAACATTTGGAAAGAATTTTGGATGCCGACCGGAATACTTTATTACGAAGTTTATGAATATGCAATATTTTGAATTGGCTTTGATAGAAGTGCGTCATATATGAGTTCATTTGGCACAGAGCTGATACAAACTTATGATGACTGTATGCTGTACTTGAGGAAAAGTGATTGCATCAGTGAGGGCAAAATTTGAACATAAAGTGCCAATTTTCTCATCATAGGGTTTGCTTGGAAACATCTGTATTTCTTGAACAATTCACAAGTATCTCCTTTTGAATGAATTTTAAAATTTTCTGGAATATGGTAAAACACAATTAAAGGTTTTATATTCAGTGTTGACTGTGACTTCCTGTGCGAAGCAAGAAACGGAATTATGATTTTTGCTTTCGTCCAAATTCGAATTGACAGAGTGACGTGACGTGGGAACTTTTTGTTATAAAGTTATTTCGCATATCAGCCATTATAAGATAAATCGATATTGCAACGATTCATTAGGCATATCGATTGCCTGTAGGTCTGGAATCTGAAGTTCAAGTTTATCACGTTTATCTCCTCTTCGCATGCTGCCTCCTTGATTGAACATCCCTAATACACATTTCCTGATTTAGTTCAATATTCCTCATGGAATTTGCCTGTTGTTTCATTATAGAAAAGGATATATTCAATGTTTATAAAAATGTATTCTTACCAGACAACATTTCACTCTGTAAAAGCCAATATCCATCCGCGTGTCTGTCGGCAAGTGCAGTCTAAATATACGTTTCCTATCGTCATCATTTCTTATTCCTCTTTTTCTTCTGTAATCCTCAGTAAGCTGTGAATGGTTCGTTGACTTTGCATTTCTTTTGTCTTGATCAGAACCAGAGTACCTTTTGACTTTCAATTTCGTTAGATTCAAGTTTTGATGTTAACTATTGTAGTAGCCCCTTTTTTGTAATTCATTCAAGCATACCTTGGCAATTAGTCAATGAGAGATAACCAGTGTTTACTGCATAGCCATAGAAGGACTGTTTCCTAATCTTTAATCCCCTCACTAACTTTAGTGCTGCCCCAGTTATATTGGGTGCTAAGCAAATTTTAGTTTTGAAGTTCAGTCAGCGTCAGCGATATATAGAAACCATTAGGTATCAGCATGCTCAAGTCTGTAAATGTCCTCCACTACAGAAATGACTTGACTTTTCTGCACTCTCTTTTGAGACGGTACATACTCAACTGGACATGCCTATTCTGTATGGTGGTCTGGAGTCTTCCATTAAAAGCGGTGGTTCACAAATATTTGTCAGCCTGTGAGGATATTCTATGACATAGGAAACGGTAGGTCGCGGCTGTTTGAATGCATCCCGCTTCCATGAGGCTTATGACGCTACACTGATTTTAATTCAGATTCTATGAACAACAAATGCTTTGTTCCGAAGGTAACATATGCAGCTCTATGGATAGTTTCCCTTACGTATATAGTGTTATTACTCTATCTACTTGCAGTACCTGTACATTTTTGAGAAGCCTTTTCAAACCCGCAGTGTACGTACAACTTTGCGGGGTTTTCCGTCCATCTTGCTCACCAGACTCATGCCCAATTTTATAAGAAAAATTCCTCAAACTTCTTTCTTGAAAATTAATAAGAATGACAACTCGCTCGTATTTGAGGTGTGTACTTTTCCAAATCAGAAAAACTGCCTTCTAAAAAGTAGTGCTTGTCATTCTTGCCAGCGATGATTCGTTGGCTGAAGTTTTCTTGTCCGTAAACAAAGTTCATGATAAAGGAAAATATCACTTTTCGTACTACATCTTTGCAGTTGTCCATCCTCAAAACGAGGAGAGCGAGGTCAGGCTTCTGAGATACTGAGAATAGTGACAAAGTGGCGCTATAATTGTAATATCCTATTTCATCTATCCTGAAGGACATTCGATTTCTAGCAGTCATATACCTCCTGATTTGCATGAGCGAGGTTAGGTTAGCTGGGTAATAATCTCAGCGAGTACCTTGCCAATAATTTACTCATTGCAGTCGTGCCCCTGCTTATCCATATCCAGCTTACACTCATGGTATTCGTCAAAAGAGTCATATTGTTCTGGCATGCCATGTCCAGCTGTTTTTTGTTCAAAATTCAGCGTCTCTCGATAGTGAGTTATGCAAATTTATCAGCGAGGACGACGCAAACGCCGTTCTCGGAGTTTGCCGCCTCTAGGAACCTCCTGTTTGTCCGCATGTCTTCTCACTATCGAATCAGGTGTAAAGATGAGGAGCGAGGTTTAAACGGAGTGACTCAGTTGAGGCGCATAATGACCCTAGGCTGTCATTCATGAAAACAACTATTTTCAAATCTACTGGACAGCTGGAGACTCCAAGATTTACAGCATGACAGATGGTGTCGTATCTATGAATCCTGGTTTGGATTCCATATTAATATCTCGTGATCCTTCATAACTCTGATGAAAAGGTTCTAGATGCACAGAACTATGCGGGGATTTGATGACGCAGTATGGCACCTGGCCAAAAATGCTCTGACAAGAGCGAAGACAAAGCGTATAGCGGTACAAGTATTTACGTGAATACGTTTTAATCTTTCAAACAGGTAATCTCATATAAATCTATATCAGTTCATAGAAACACAATTAGCAAATATGCACAGATCTGATTACTAATGTCAGTACATTCAAAATTCCATATCAGTTGCTATTTTTGAAGCTGGACCTAAAACCACATATAGCCTGATGTTTTGAGCATGGTGGCATTATTAAACTGATTTGCACGTACCCATTAATTGTGTTGGTGTGCAATCACATGATTTTTATGCAAATTGAGTCGTTTGAAAAATTATAAGCGTTTGCGCCATTGCATAGTTAATGAATGCACAGAATGCACCCAATCTTTAACATATGTATTTCAAAGATTCGCAACAGACTATTGAGTGGGCTGTTAGGCAGGAATTTTTCAAATTTAAGGTAGAGTGAGATCGGTTTGTGCGCCTTGCTGATTCTCAAGGTTTTCGTGTGGTTTTCAGAGTGCATTCGACGAATCTCCCATGCGATGAGCTCCGTTTTGGAGCCTGTGGCATACTGTAGCTGACTAAGACAAAGAGTCAGTGATGGTCACAGTTGTTACGAGAGTCCTCGCCTGATCCAAATCTTTGTTTAGTGTCCAGTCCTCATTTTATGGAAGTGTCGCCGGATGTGATCACCGGTGACCTCGACAAGAGCGTCAACTTTTCCCGCAACGGCGCCGTCGACAAGTTCTCCATGCAGCACCTGCAGCCTTACCCTTGCATGGCGTCCAGCAGCTTCGTACCCACGTTTCCAAGCGAATATTACGGCGGATACCCACAGCTGTCCACCAACTCCGTGCCTTGGTCTTCAGCCGTCAGACCGGGATGCGGTTCTTTGATTGGTACGCTTCCGTTTTCTGACGCAAACCTTCGAAGTCCTAATCGGCATCTGCTGCTTTCAGCCAATTCCACTTATTACAGCGGCAGTTTCAACTGATCGAATTTCAGCCACATTCCGATCCGGTGCTACGTGAGAAAATTGCCAGCCAGCAACGTGATCGACAGGTCTGCAGGAAAAACTTCAACACTGTGATCTGCTGCAGAATCGCATCGCCTCCGTTTCATCGTGCAACTCAGTTCTTCGACTGTTAAATACCCGCGTTAGCCTTTTATTGATTTCTAGTCTGCTTACTTTAATAAAATGTCGCATGTATTTCTTTTCACCGTAATTAATTAATTATCCGTATTGTTAATAAGTGTGATGACTGAAGACATTTGGCACCAGTTGCGTTTTGAATACTGTTTGCTACCTCGATGGTTTCGTGCATTTAGCTTTCGAGTTCATTGTGCATTTCGAAAAAGCAATGGTGAGCGTTACGACACAATAAATGTCATTTTCAATCCAGACACTGCCTAAGACGCAGAACAGGTTTCACCTCTATCTTTTTGGACTTTAGCATCGATGTAGCATGGGTGCAGTTTTCATTCATTTTGTAACGCCGCTTATTATATATCATTTGCATCTTATGACGTCCTGTTTCATTTTCGTTATCTCCTGTTCAACCATTTTAAGTATTAAATCAGATGGTGGTCCCAAATCTTTTCATTACCTCGTTAACATACCATTTGATGGTCCATGACAGCTCTTCATAGTCAGGCGAACGTCTTCGCCATGCTTGGCCCTGCCGTTCGATGTGATCATTGCAATTGACGCCGAGCTGAAAGAGTAACTAAAGTGACTCATGATTGATTGATTACGCCTTCACTACCCGTATCCACACTTAGTTTGTGTAATCATGCTAATTTCAAAACTAATCTACGTTCTCACAAGGTTAGTGTGAAGGGTGAGGCGGGTCAGCGGATTAGTCATAACTTTATAAACCAAATGATCAACAGACTTTGCAGGAGATTATTTGTCGCTTCTTCAATTCAAATTTTCTTTCAACAAATAAAAGTAGGTATTTTCTAATTATTATTTTCAGTAGTCTACCATGCTTTGTAATGAACTAAGAGCACAGATGGAATTTGTATAAACTCGCAAAACTTATGTTTGCTGAGTAAACAAACTCAAAGTGACGTGAATGGCGCATTGAATACACGTGTTCCAAGACAACGTGTGTGTCATGGTTCATTCCCTCAGCGGACAAGCGATTAATCACAATATGAAGATGAAAGCTCAGTACTGCTTTGACCGATCAATTTACTCAACATGACACACTGTAAAACAGAAGGGTTCTCTTCGTTATACTCCAATATGAACCACAATACAGTTTCTGTCCCTCTGTATTTTCGGAATTCCATTTATATGCACTTCCCTGATTGTCATGGCTAATCCTCGCTGTTCCACATGATTACAGAGCTGTCTTAATGACCTATGTCAAGGATCACACAATTTGGCTTTATGGCTCCGAAACTATGAACTGCTGCGGATGACCAATCAAATTCACGAAACTTCAGCACCAGCCCACCTTGAAGAAGATCCGTGAGACACAAGCCGAAACATCGGTATTGGTCGGTCACCAAACTGACTACAGTATCTTTTGCGTCATTTACAAGTAAACTGTCTTATGCCATTTTTCAACATCATACAAGAGGTATGTAAAGATTTGCAATAGTAGATCGAGGCCATTCATTACCTGCTAAAAATACGCAGGTCTTTCACAAATGACATGCCGCCGCATGCTGGTTAATATTGTTGCAATGGCCGCTGGTCCCTGATTTTTTTTGCAGGACGAACCACTCCTACAGTAAGGCACCTTTGGCTTGTTACTTATTTGTAATCAAACCGGCTCATCAGGACCCTGCTTTCAACGCGCTTTGTATGTGAGCGTGTCCTTCGACAGTGACAAATGTCAGTGTCATCAGTTCAGAGGAATTATTGTAGGGGTCTACAAAGATACACAGTGTTATTACATTTCACAGATTTTACTGTCCATGCGGTATCAACGGAAGTTTCACTTCCATTTTTCTATTTAGCCTATGGAGCACCTTCACTCATTCCGGATATTTCGTCCACGAGTGGCCAATTTTTGCTTAGATGAATAATGAATGTGAGAAAAATTTCATAGTGTTTTTTTTGCAATTGACACAAAAGGATGCCCTAATTTAATTCTGCAATCAGGGTTTCACTTCAAAAATATATGGAGTTCTATAGCCTCGATTGTAAGGGTACACAATCGATATTGCCAGTTGCCATAGTGACTCAGAAATGTTACTTTTATCACACTTTGACATGTGATTCCGTGATCCCACCACTGTTTTGTAGCTGGTTGGTCTCCCAAAATTGGATATGGAAATAAAAATACCTCATATTTCAATTTTTCAACGTGTTTTTTGATGTAGCAGCGATTCAGTTGCCGAAAATCAATTTCAAACATAGATTTTAGTAGACAGTATAATTTTAGCAACTAGCTTTGACTTTCCTTCAATGGATAAATATTTTTGGTTTAAATAAGGCATCTGTAGTAAATAAATAGTATTAAAAGTAGTTTTATGACTACGCTTCTTCCTTACTGTTGGTCAATTAACCAAAGAATGAAACTCAGTTATTCAGGAACAACTCGTTTCCCACTATTTCAAAAAAACGGGATGCACAATGGGTCAGGCAACTTGGGCAGTTTTGCGTCATCATCATCCTCAATGGCCGCTTCTCCTTTTCGGTCAGACAGTGCTTCCAACGTTCCCGATCCTGTGCCAGAGCCTGAGCTTCGGCAAAAGGCAACTGGAGTCCGGAACAGATTCCTTCCATATGTTTGCACCCGGTTAATCTTGGCCGTCCCCTGGGCCTTTTGCCGGTCGGATTTGCAAGGAAGAGTTGTTTAGCTTTCCTTTCTGGAGGCATTCGCAACACATGCCCAAGCCATCGCAGCTGTGACTTCTA